GTGTTCGGCTCGTTTACACCCTAACACAAGAGAATCCACCCTCAACTAGCAAACACTGCTTCACGTAACTTCGCTGTTGTTAGACACGATGCCAAGCAACATTCGAGAGTCAAATTTTTGTGTGCAAAGTAGGTTTTCTCTCCCTAGCACCGGAGCACCACTCCTGGGCGCCAACTTTCCATGGGTTTGGGTTGAAGCCGCGATTCGGGCGCCCCCACGCGTCTTATGGGCGTTGGAATGTCGATTGTTCTATTGTTGGGCATGGAAACCTAACATTTCATTGCCATTGTGTGTTAGGCCACTTGGATATAAGAGTTTTTTTTTTTTTAATTTAATGATGTTGCATCATGGAAGCATAATTGATGTGAAATCGCAAAAGCAAGAGGATTTTCTTATTTGATTACGCTGAGATAGTGCTCGCTCGTTCCTAATCATGAAGCAATATGTGTTGCGTTATGATCAAATAGTCCCCATAATTTTGTCCCCGGCAGTGCATAAACCATCCAAAAATAAGCAAATGAAATGCTGAGTATTTCAATCCTTATCCAACGCAAAAAGTAAATAATAATAATTTAATGCTACTTATATTTATAGAGGACTATAATTAGCGTGAAATGACGCTTAGACCTCTGATCTTCTTTAATCGGCCGATTTCTGATCATTCTGTTTAAGTTCGATCGACTCTCAGTTGATTGGTCAGTGGCAAGTCCTCTTCTTGTTGGCCGACATCCGATTTATCATCCTCTGGGTCGGTTGACCTCTAGTAGGCTGGCCTTTAATCGACTGATCTCAGACTGATCAGTCGCTCGATTAGCCTCCATCTGATTGGTCTATTGTTATCTTTCAATTATCCTTGCTTTGGGTAACACTGCATTACTTTCATGAGATTCAAATGTAGATGCCACATAATATTCTCTCAATAATATTTTTATTGCACACATGATACATAGTGTAGCAATGTTCTTGACCATTTATATGAAAATAATATGTACAACAATAAATCCAATTACAATCACATAAGGGTCCGTTTGAGCCAGCTTGTGCGTTTCAGGATAAGCTGGTTATCCTGAAACGCGGCCTGTGGGCCGGCCGCAAGGGCCCGCGGTCTGCGTTTAATGTAAAAACTCAAACGCAGTTTCGGATAAACTGACGAAACTCGCGAATCAAACGGTACGACAGCGTTTTGAAAACGCCGCCCGCACTTATCAGCTGGCCCAAACGCACCCTAAGTATAATCATAATCAGACATATTTAAATTGACTCGTAGATAATTTATTTATTTAAATTTCTATGACTTTGCGCAATAAAGTAGAATGGTAAAAATCAATTTCACAGCATATCCATCTAACCACATACAAAAATTATGAATAAATAAAGCATATTCACTAATATATTATTCACAAACTCTCATCAATCATATACATAAATATATATGTATGATCCTTAATATATTCCCAAACTGCCATTATATATAAAACTTCATCAAATTCTCCCAAATATATCATAATTTATCATTTAAAAGAAAAAGACATTCACTAAGCTAACATTAATCTTCATAGTTATATATATAAGTCATGGAACAACAAATAATAAAAAGGATGATGCCACACACAACAGCTCAAAATAGAAAAACTCATTAAATTGTGCCACCAAAAGAAACTAGTAGCTATGGTTTGTGTCGTCCAAGGAGACCTTATAGACCTGGGTAAATATGAAAGTTTAGGTGGTAAACATGCAAATACATAAGAATTGTGTGGTATGTACGCAAATGTCCCAAAATTGGAATTGTAAGGCTTTCTGGTTAACCTGCAAACTGTAAATTGTGGTGTAAAATAAGTTTAAAAGCTAAATCACTTCTAAACTATCCGAACTATTAATCTCATCGCCGATATCTTCACTCGAAAAAACATGAATCAGAATTCAAAATTATTGCCTTTGTACCTAATAAACCAACACATCTTCATCCACAGCTTTTTTTCTCCATACGGCTTCAATTCTCCACTTACATTCATTAATCTGATTCTGCTCCCCTTTCTCCTCAGTACTTCTCATTCCATCCCTGAAACCCACCGTCCAAATCAGAGTAACATGTCATCAGATTATTCTCCCAGGCCTCCTAACCAGTAGAAGTTGTTGCTGCCTTCTGTGTGTAGAAGGGTTAAAACAAGTTCATTGTTTGGCATATCAATCCAAGTTTGAATCTATGATGAGCCTGTTGCAGGTCTCTAATAGCGAGTATATTTCCTCAGATAAAGGATGAGAGCAATCTCCAGCAATAAAAACATGAACTTTATTCTGCAATTCAATCCAACTATATCCTGGTTGCTTGAAAACCCCTTTCCTATCCATTAATTGCCTCACTTGTAAAGCTTCCTCCCATCTCCCCTCATCTGCATGGATATTGTACCTCAGCACATACGAAGCACATCCAGTTGGCTCCATTGCTGCTAAGGCCTTTGCTGCTACATCAGCCAAGTCTGGTTTGTTATGAACCCTACAAGCACCAAGAAGAGCACCCCAAACTACCCGGTCAGGAGGAAAAATCATGTCTTTAATCACCTCCAAAGCTTCATCAAGTTGCCCATGCCGCCCGATGAGGTCCACAAGGACCGCATAATGCTCCACATTAGGAACTAACTTAAACTCCTTAATCATTGATTCAAATTCCCTCTTCCCATCTTCCACCAATCCCGCATGCCCGCAGGCATGCAGAATGGCAACAAACGTTATCTGCGTTGGTCGAATTTTCACATTCTTCATTTCCTTAAAAAGATGAAGCGCTTCCATAGCAAATCCATGGTGTGCAAACCCCCCTATCATTGAGTTCCATGAAATGACATCTCTTTGTTCCATGTTTTCAAACACGCACATTGCCTCAATCACACACCCACACCTTGAGTACATGGTGATCAAAGAATTGTTAATTGGGGTATCTGGTACAAGAGTTTTAATGATGAGTTGGTGAATTTGAGTGCCTTGTCTTAGAGATGCAAGTGCCGCACAGGCACTAAGCAACGAGGACATGGTATGTTTGTCAAATCTCTCACCGGAAGAAAACATTTTGGAGAAAAGCCCAATTGCCCCTTCGAAATCTCCATTTTGTTCGTAGCCAGAAATCATCGTGTTCCAAGTGATGAGCTCCTTATGTGGTGATTGGTCGAAAAAGCTTCGTGCTTTCTCCACCTCACCCTTTTGGGCGAAACCAAAAATTATCGTGTTCCATGATCGGGAATCGCGTTCAACCAATTGGAGGAAAAGAGCTTCAGCCCTTTCCATTTCTAGAGCCTGCACAAAACCAGTGATCATGGTGTTCCATGAAACCAAATCTCTTGCAGGCATTTCATCAAATAGCTTTTTTGCAGATATAAGATCACCAGCTTTTACATAACACATGATCATAGAATTCCATGAAACAACATTCCTATGAAAGTTTTTGGTCTTTAATCTGATCTGAAAGTTTTGATGTTGTTCGTATGGAATCAAGTCAAACACTCTCCGGGCTTCCTTTAACCTCCCAATTCTGCCATACCCTACAATCAAGGTATTAAAAGCATCAACAACTCCCTCAATGTCTGAAGCTTTAGCGCTCCTAAGCAAGATTTTCGTCGCCTCTTCCAATAAGTTGTTTTGAATCAACCCCGAAACTAGTGCGTTCAGAGAAGCCGCGTCCTGAACGGGCATTATCTCGAAAAGCTCTACTGCACTCCTGATATCTCCCACGCGAAGTAAACCGGTAATCACTGTATTCCAAGAAACAACATTTCTCTCAGGCATTCCACCAAACAGTTGCATCGCTTCAACCATTTTTCCATTCCTGGCGTACCCGCAAATCATTGTATTCCAAGAAATGACATCTCGTACAGGCATTTGATCGAACAGGTGACGTGCCTCCTTAAGCTCGCTGTGGTCATATGAACTTGTGTAGCCGGATATCATGCAGTTCCATGAAACGAGGTCTCTTTGAGGCATTTCGTCAAACAGTCTGCGAGCAGGTGCAAGTTCGCGCTGACGGACGTATCCAGAGATCATAGAGTTCCATATGAAGACGTTGCGGTGGGGAAGGGAGTCGAAGACCTGGCGAGCTTCACGGAGGCGACCTCGCCGGATAAGTTCAGAGAGAGCCTTGTTCTGCTGCCCGCAATCAGTTCCGGTGGCGGCGAACGTTCGAACAGCAGATTGACGTAACAGGCTTCTCATGCCGGCGGCGAAACCAGCCGGATAAGTTCAGAGAGAGCCTTGTTCTGCTGCCTGCAATCAGTTCCGGCGGCGGCGAACGTTCGAACAGCAGATTGACGGAACAGGCTTCTCATGCCGGCGGCGAAACCTAGATGAATCTTTGGACGAAATAGAGCGCCGGCGACTGCGGCATTTTGCTTGGGTAAGGCAGCGACGGGAAGACTTTCTCCTCCATAATGGGCTATCTTCTCGGCAACGACATATTATTCAGCACGGAAGGGGATGCCTCGCCGCGGAAGTCAGCCATTGTCTTCTCCTTCTCCTCTCTTCAATCTCCGGTGCCGGCGATCCCATCAACCGCGGCCAGTGGTGGCGGCCACACCGATTTGGAAAGGGAGACGGAATGTTTATTCTGCTGTCGCATTATGCCTGCCCCCATTGGCTGTTGAAAAATTTCTTAGCTGGAACAAAGACACCTTGAAAATTTTCTTAACTGGGAGAAAGAATGGTTTAC